GTGTTAGCCAGGATGGTCTCGATCTCCTGACCTCGTGATCCACCCGTCTCGGCCTCCCAAAGTGCTGGGATTACAGGCGTGAGCCACCGCGCCCGGCCCCAAAGAGATTCTTAATACCATCTCAGGGTTATCCGGGAAGGGCCCATACCTCACTCACTGGGTAATATTATGGAAACTGAAGTAGAATCACTAAATTAGACCACGACTCAAAACACCAGAGTTTCAATTTGTGTTATACCTTTTATCAGCTGTGAACTCTGTCAACTGAATTAAACCCTCTGGGCTTCTGGAAAATGAAGCCCTGGGCTAGATGATCTGAAATGACTTTTCCCACACTATCATTTTATGGTGTGAAAATAAAGACACAGGAGCCACCACCTACCTGCAAACAACCCTAACCCAATACTACAGGATTCACCTCCAGCTCTCAACTCCTAAACCAAGGATGAAGAAATGGGGCACAAACAGAACACCTACTAGAAAGGCACAAGACAAATCACCAGCCTAGTGGAGCTTCTCAACCCACACCTCTCGGAGCGCTCAGGGAGCCTGGGCGACACTTGACTCTGATCAGCCCGGCGTCAGCAACGCCGGCGTTTCCACTGCCAGGTTTCATTATCACATTCTCACCTCCAAAACCTGCCTCTAGGTGCTCTACTGAAGTAAACACAAATACTCCGCTCCAGGTCAAAGTGTCATTTCGTAGAACCCTAACACTGATACAAATACTGGCTTTACCTACTGTAACAGAGATGGACACTTCCTACAGAACAGACAAGACTTTGAAGGAGGAAAAAACCACACTTGTCAGTTAAGTTTTACTTCACAAAATTGTGGTTTTTAAGTAAATTAACCTTAAATCAGCTTATATAAACCATAAGAACCAGCAAATAGCTCAATAATTCTAAAATAAGGATAAAAGTACTGTTAAAAAACAAAAAACTGTCAAAGGGGCTAATGCTTTTTCTTTGATACAGATCTGAATCATTAAAGGCACCAAATCTCAATTTATAGTCGTAAGTCACTGACTAGGAGATCTCTGAAGTTTTAAGAAGCAGATTCACAAGGAACTAGCTTGCTTTAAGATTTAGAGTACTTAATAAAAACAGAAACATACTTATATTGGCAGAACTGAGATACAAATAAATTACTCATTGGTTAAAAACAAAAAATTCGTGAAAAGGAAAATTATGAAAAGGAAGTATCAGGAACCCAGCAAAGAAGGAAAGAGCCATATTTTCAAACCTGCTTTCTGTCTCAAACTGATTTTTCCATCTGGTAGAAAAATGAACAGCTGTAACAGCGAGGATGAGGCTCAGCATTACTGCCTCCATTCTCCCCTAACATCCCCGTGGTGGGATCGTATAGGCTGAGAGAACTATGGGAAGAATTTATAGTTTAAAGCAAGTATGACAGTGGTCCCTTCCCAAAACTAACCCCCAAGGAGATAAAGAGGGAGCACACACAAGTAACAATGTTATGTTGAAGACTTATAGGAGCATCATGGCCTGACCAAGGACAGAGAAGTTTCACAATCCCCTTGGACCTTCGCTGCCATCAGGATGTCTGTGCTCATCGGTCACCTCCTGATCTCACCTCCGCCTTTCTTTCCCCTTCCCTTAACACAGAAGAAGTCTCCAGTTCTATTAACTTAAGATGGTTCCTCAGGACATTAGTCCACCATCTTCTTGGCTTGGTGGCTCTCGGAAAAAAGTTGCCTTCCTTGCCCCAACACCTTGTCTCTCAGCTTATGGGCTGTCATTGCAGTAAGCAGTAAGAACTGTCACATCGATGAGCCTTTTTCATGTGTCCTCATTCTCAAACAAGCAGAACCTCCTTTAAAAGCTACTGAAGAGCGAGAGGGTGGAGCAGATGCACTAAGTGAGGGTCGCCCCTACTTTGGAAACTAACTCTTCAGGACTCCATTCTGGACATAACCTTCCTCTCTCTGAATTGTGCTTTGTCCAGGATTGTTATGATGAGTCAAAGGAGCAGTTGTTCAGTGTTCAGGCATCTCAGTGGCCTCCAGAGACGCTGTTCAAGATAAGGTAATTAAAATTATGCTCCGCTCAGTTTTAATTTGCTGTAGTAAAAAGTTTGTAAGTAACATTCATGTAAGAGCACTTCCTCAGTGTAGATCCAGAAATACTTTTAAAATCTTGTGCTCTAAAGTTGTCACCCACTCATCTGAGTTTGCATAATGGGCTTTAAACTTCAAATTATATTGGGCGTTAATCTTATATTGGGCTTTAAACTTTGAATAACCATACTTTATATAACACATAAAATTGGAAGGAACTGGCCAGGCATGGTGGCTCATGCCTGGAATCCTAACACTTTGGGAGGCCAAGGCAGGTGAATCACTTGAGGTCAGGAGTTCACAAGACCAGCTTGGCCGATATGGTGAAATATCATCTCTACTAAAAAAAAATACAAAAATTAGCCGGGTGTGGTGGCACGCACCTGTAATCCCAGCTACTCAGGAAGCTGAAGCAGGAGAATCACTTGAACCCAGGAAGCAGGGATTGCAGTGAGCCAAGATTGTGACACTGCACTCCAGCCTGGGCAACAGAGTGAGACTGTCTCACGGAAGGAAAAAAAAAAAAAATTCAGATTGTGTGACTCTGTCCTCAATAAAAAGGAAACACCATAAAGGTGCATGCCATGAAAGAACCACACTCATTCCTATAAACTGTAGCCCATTCAGTCTAATAACTATGCAAGTTTTTTTTTTTTTTTGACAAGTCTTGCCCTGTCACTCAGGCTAGAGTGCAGTGGCGCAACCTTGGCTCACTGCAGCCTCCACCCCCCGGGCTCAAGCAATTCTCCCGCCTCAGCCTCCCAAGTAGCTGGGATTACAGGTGCACGCCACCACACCCGGCTAATTTTTGCATTTTAGTAGAAACGGAATTTCATCATGTTGGCCAGGCTGGACAAGTATTTTTTTAAAAAAGACAAGGAATTATGGCATAAAAGGCTGAATGGAACAGGAGAACTGAGTCCTGGCTTATCCCTAATACTGTAAGTAATATGAACCACTATTTGTAACTGCTTTCAGCCTGTTCTAATTTGTAAAATGAAAATGATCACTCGAGGTTCTCTACATGCCTAGAGGGTAGCTATATAGATCAAATGCCATCTGGCATATGAAAGCCTTTGAATAGGTTAAAATGTCAGACTGACATGAGAGGTGACTACCTTCTGAAACTTCTGGGCTTGCAGATTTCCTGACAAAGGTCCAGGCCTCATCCTCTGTGGCAAACTTCTTAAATCTGGCAGCAGGAAACCGGTCCACCTGTGCTTTGCACTCATTCCTGGAAAAGATGTGCAATGTTATTTCCTCTTTCCCTAACTTATCCCCTTTTTTATTAAGATTCTTAAAGTTGGAAATACAGTTGTCCCTTGGTATCTGAGGGAGATGGATTCCAGGAAGTCCTCCACCCCCATCACAGATACCAACACCAGAGGAGGCTTAAGTCCTTTGCATAAAATGGTGTATTTGCACATAACCTACACACATCTTCTTGTATGCTTTAAATCATCTCCAGTTTATAATACCTAATACAATGTATACAGTTGTTGTACTGCCTTTTTATGGGTATTTTAAAACTGTATTCTATTTTTATTTTTTCCAAATATTTTTGATCTACGGTTAGCTGAAACTGAGGATGCAAACTGGATATGGAGGACCAATTTTAGTGTGAAAAGGGCAGAATCATGCCTTATAGTTTCATCCTGCACGTCAGACTCTACACCTGTGTTCTACTGTATGCCAGCCGGCACACCAGCACCGTAAGGCTTTCGTCAAACTCAAAGCGTAACAAAATACTGGGATCTTTGAAAAAAATATTAACCATTTCATTACGACAAAAAGGTCAACTTCTGAGATGCTTCTTCCTCAACACTATAGCTGCCGTGGAACACAGGTAACGACCTCTGGTATGTTGTAGTGGGAAGAGTTCTGGTGGTAGAGGCAGAACACGTGGGCTGAAGTCCTTTCTCTGTCAGTTCGTGCCCTGGGAACTTCCTGACCACAGGAACTACACCTGCAAGTGAGAATGATCCCTCTCACCTCCAAGCGTTGTTACAAGGATCCAACTGCAAATACTGGCTTATTCGAATTGACCTTTTTAAAAAGGGAAGATTAGATTAGGTACTGAGTTCCAGTCCCAATTTAGCTGGTACGGAAAATCTGGTAATGGGGGTTAGTTCTCAGGACGTGTCACTTTTTGTTGTACTTTAACTGCAACAAAGATGAAGGATTAAACACAGGGTTTATTAGGCCACCCCTTTCCAAACAAGTCTTCGGCGCGGTCCAGTTCCCGGCCGTGAGCCTCCC